AACTGATTGAATTGCAATTTATAAACATTTTGAATTTTTGAACATTGAATTTAAAAAAAACTTTTATTTTGTGGACAGTAAATTTGGATGAGTTGTTAATGTCCGAGGCAACAGTTGTCTTTTAAACCATAGCATCCAAAGCCTTCCCATTGAACCGAGTTATTTATCTAGACATAAGTTTTGATTATAAGATTCTGTAAGTCAGTCCAGATGAATCAAAACAGTAACAGCTGGAAAGATTTCATACCAAACTACAATACACTAGCCAAGCTATAACATCACATTTATTACCGACTCTATTAAATTTCAAACAAAAGCCAGTCTCCCAATAGTCTATAGACAATAATCTCTCAAACGATTCTGTCATCAATCTACAAACAGATAATTATGAATACATTAAATACGCAAATTTATTTTGCAAAACTGACTCAATATGAAATAATAATAATAAAAAACGTTGAATATGAATAAAGTTAGTCCAATAAATTCCATATAAGTGATAACAAGTTTTTATTATTATTTGTTTTTTCAAGAACATTTCCATTTTTAGTAATAATAAAAAAAAATTGGTCAATTATGACTTTATGACTTTGTATACAATGAAATTAATGGGTCGCGAGTTTTCTTTTTCTCACTTTACAGTTAAGAGCAATAAGAAGCAAATTTCAAAGATTGATTTCTTTAAAACTTCATTTGTTAATTTCTTTCGTTTTCTTACTTTTTAATTCGTGTTGACGTAAACTTCTTGTTACTTTTTATTAAAATAAATTATTTATTTATCTCTGCTCTTTTCTTCTTTGCTTCTCAACATTAGTTTGCTTTGTGCAGTTTTAGTTGAGATGAATGGAAGTTATATTCACATTGGCAGGCTGATTAAGTTTTAAATTGATTTGTTTATGATCCTGCTTTCGGTTTGATCAGATTTGATTACTTAGAAGACTTACATTAAGCTTTGCTATTTGGTTAATTGTTTAATCAGCAAACAAAGTGTTAAAATCAATCCAAAATTCATTTTGATGATAAATTTGTCAGTAACAAGACTTTTCTGGAAAGTATCGAGTCAATCTAATTATTGCAGTGATGTTAATTTCGAAAACAAAAGCCAAAACCGTAGGTTGTTTGCGTCAACTGTAAGATATTGTCATATGATCAATTCACATGATCAATTAACAAGTAAATTGACACTTTTGTGGTTTATTTGTGGTTTACCTGATTGATTATTGATTAATTTAAGAGAATGCTTTTAAAGATGATGTGATTCAACTTTATTAAAACTTCATCAAATTCAGAGCAATTCATGAAATTCTAAAAACGTTCAAAAGTCGCCCAGCCCATCATCAAAACTGACTCTTTCATACCAGTTCTCTCTTACATCATTGTGTGTAGTATACGAAGAGTTCGCTCACATGGTGAACGGCTTAATGTTTCATTTGTGTGTTGTATGCAAAAAGTACCATTTCCATTTATGGAAACTTGTAATATCAATTATTGTCAAGCGTTTCGGAATGTCTGTGACTTTATAAATATTTTTCTTATTTTTCTTTTTTTTTGGAATCGCTCTCGTAATTTATTTATTTCTATGAATCAGCGTTTTGGCTAAAACGTTCTTAAGTATTATTATTATTTATATTCGGCAGTATCCGTTCAGACACAGGCCATTAACTCTTATTGATATTGCAAAAAAAAAGAACTTGTCTGGTGCTCTCTTAAAAATTTATTTCTGGTAGCTTAAGATTAAATCATAAAAAATTTTATTCAAATCTCGAGGAAATCTCGTTCGACTTTTTTGGTGCTCTTGGAGCAAAGAAATAATAATGAAATTTGCCACTATTGCCATTTAAAGACTTTGTCTATTTTATTTCAATTATGTCTGATTTGTTCTGTTGATTATGGTATTGTGATCAAGATATGGACTACAATGTAGGCTGTATTAGTATATGAAATGGTTATAGACAGCAATTTTGCTAGATAAAAGATCCAACCGATGATTTGAAAGTTCAAAGTTGAAGTTGTGGAATGAAATTGCAGTTTTAACCAATGACGTAGATTTTGCGGAACATTGATTGGATTAATTGATGTCTTTGGTTACGTTTCTTGCTGTTTGGTAATGAATGTGATGGATATACAGCCAAATATGGAATTAAAATGATAAAGCACTGGGAAGTGAAATTCGAAATTTAAATCTAATGACGTCCATCATAACTAGGATTTAAATCTCTTCCTTATGCCAACGTCATTTATCAAAGCCTCAAAATAAAAAATTGTAACATAATTTAATATCCTCAATTGAACATTCCTAGTCTAAATATTACCTCATAACCATATTCTCTATTGATGACTTCAGATCACGAGAATTTCCTATTGTTTACTCATTTTTGGCGGGAAGCATTCAGCTATTTTACAAATTTATTCTGTCAGAATTTTTTGGACTGAAACTTGTATTCAAATGGAACTGATGCACCCAAAATTTACATTTTTCATTCATTCATTTTATTTATTGAGAATCAAACGTCAATAAAACTCCATATTTAGAGTCATTACTTCAGTTTTATTCATTCTCATGCTGTTCAGACAGAATTACATGATTAATATTTCTACCGTATTCGTCTTCCTTTCAATCATTGTTGCAGCCCAACCTAGTAAGAATCTATCTGCCGGAATTCTTAGTTTGAGGAAGCCCCCAGCTGGGAATATAAAGCATAAAAACGTTTTAAAACATCCATATTCAGCACTTATTTGAAAATGTCATGTGTTTATTTTTAAATTCGATTTTTATTTGATGACTTAATGAGCAAATGTTTGAAAATGATCGACTTAATCTTTTATTTTTTAAATTTGCCATTCTTTAATCTATTCCAGTGCTACTTTCATCAATCATAAAATTCAACTTGCTAATGACAGATGGCGTAAAAAGAAAATTTGCTGCCCACTTGAGACTTATTTTTGACTTGTATGGGGTGTTTGGATTGATGGAGTTGTGTCTGTGTTGTGTTAGACATTCACTTTTGATGTCCTAAATTCAAAGAGGTCGATGATAATGACGTAGAAGATGAGGGTTAAGTATAAGGATGTAACCTACTTATAGTTTCTAAGCTAGCAATGTTTGGGGTCAAAGTATGATTAAATTTGGACTCGATGCTCTTGCAAAGCTCAAAGAAGTAAGTCCGAGCTAGGCCTAGCTAGGCTTAGATTAAGTTTTCTTGAGAATTGTTCAAAATTTTCAAAAAAATTCCTAAAATTCAGTCACCAGACACCACAATCCACCCATAGATTCCAAGTCAAGATCTCACAAAGCCCTCAGACAGTCTCATAATCCAAAAACTAGAATAAGATCAACTCAAGAGTTTCAATGCCAATTAAATAAGTATCTTAAAAGCAGCAAAATAAAAAAAAAATCTCTCTTCGCGCAATTCCTAACGAGTTATAAATATACCCACAAATGATTCATCAACAAAACACAGTTTGTTTAAAGATGAGAAGGAATAAAAAAAAATTTCTTCTCTTCTCTCACTTGAAGATGATCGAAGAAAAAATAGCAAAGTTTGTGTGAATCTTTTTTTTTCATTAAATTATTTAATTGAGGCGCATTTTGAGTGGGATACTCTGAATTATTTTTAATGAGAGGTGATTTCAAATGATTAAAAACACGTGGTGTGAATGTTTTCGGTAATTTTTCTTGTACAGGTATTTTGCTGATATTTTAATGAACAGTTCCTCAATTCTTTAAGGGGCTGTTCACTTATGACGTCCAGGGGGGTCAGCAAAAAATAAACAATAGAAATTCCTGGAATTTTATTGTCCTTTTTTTAAAATTGACCGTTAATATCGGACGTCATAAGTGAACGACCCCTAACGAGTGAGTTGCAGAATTTGACTTAACGATTGAATTTTGTCTTTTAAAATCTTTATAATAAATTCAAAGAATTCTAAAATATTGCATTAAAACAAAAGACATTCACAACAGCTTTATCTTTAGCTTTATGAAAAAGAGGAAGTATCAAATTTAATGATGTGGTCACATTTCACAATATAAGCCAATGCACTTTTTGTTACAATAAAATCTCAGATTTGAATGGAATTCATACTGTGTGCTGTATTTACATTAATTCGCGATTAAGATGAGGCGTGGAAACTTAAAAACTTAAAGGATATATAGGCTGAATCCATTTGAAAGCTACACAGAGTTCAAAGTTGAAATTGATTCCATATAGTTTCGATATGACAACCTTTCCCTAATTTAATGTTCCCTACTTTTAAGTTCACAATTCTGATTTAGATTCATTTAAATAAGTTTTTGGATGATTGTTTAAGAACTATTTTGGAGTTAATTGACTAAACAAGTTTGTCATGCAATAAGAATTTGTAAGAAATCAATACTAAGGTCCAATTTTCTCAAGATTGACTTTACTGATCTTTACTCTTTATAATGCTTAAATGTTTCAATTTAAATGAACAATTTGAAGCTTCAATTACATCCAGCTTTAATTATTTTGTTCAACACCGTTGTGACATGTGTCTGGAAATTGTCATTAAACACATATGTTCGTCTGTCAAGTGATGTTTATTTTGAGAATGACGATTTTTTTTTTAATTTAATTTTTTTGTAATTTAAAGGTCATATTAGAACTTTATGATCTTTACAGGCTTATTTACTAGGAAATAGTATTTATCTTTTGGGAGAAACCCTTATTGGATGTCCAATGAGATGAAGCTTTAGTAACTCAGGTGAGTTTCTATGGTCATTTGTGATTTAAATTAGTTTTGTTGAATTATCAATCAAAGCACTGAATACGAATTATTGAGTGTTTCAGAGCTGCAGCATAAAGTATTGATTCAAGAAAGATGCTGATCATCAACTTTTGACTAAAAATCGATACATATCCCGCCAAAAACAGCCCAGATGGACAGCCTATTGCTAAATGTCTTCCAAAAATTTTACTCTCCAACCGTTTTTCACACTCATCGGTGAACAATTTTTTTCAAGATGCATGAAAAATTACCTTTTTTAGATATGAATTTTTTTCCTCACTGCGAAATTTATCGATGTTGAATCTTAGTAGACTTCCATTCATCCACATATACACACACGGGGAAAAGAGAGAAGAAATTCACCTTACAGATATGCAAATTAATTCTCTTTACACTTTTATGATCTTCACTATTTTTTATTTCACTTCGATTGCCTTGAAAGACTTTTTAACTTTTTTTTTTATTATTTGATTTATTCAAGGAACTTCACTTCTGCACATTTCACTTCTATGTGTGTGTTATTTTATTTCTCCTTCTAATTAATTCTTCAATTTCATCATGTGAAAAGAATTTCCATACCACACTCAATATTGCACAATCACATGTTACTGTGGACCAGAACCGAAAAAAAAAATATCGCGGATGAAAATATTCACGTTAAGTTGAAATTTTTCGCGGGCCGAATCGTGAGATTTTCTTTCTAATTTTAAATTTCCACACTCAAAAAGAAGAAGACGAACTGAACTGATAATTATTAATTTTTTTATTTACTCGTTTTGCTTTACACCTTCGTCACGTTAAATATCAACTTGATGTTTCAACTGTTGTCCCACGATTAACAACATTTTTTTGTTTTCATTTTTTTTCTACTTGATTCTCTCAGCGACCGCGACTCACTTCGTATGTGCGACTCTCTTCATTCGATTAAATCAGAAAACTATTAAGTAAGCATGAGCTATACAGTGATCTTACACATGTATGTAAAGGCACAAAAACTTTTTTTCATTTAATATTCTCTTCTTCGACTTGATTGTTATGAGCGATGACGATATTTGCCTCTACGCACACCAAGCTAGCTTGTATGTATTCGCTCATAGAATGTTTAATGATGAAGAAAAAAATTGAGAGTCAAGCAGGAAAAGTTTTGTGTGATCATGGAATATTTTAAAAGAAATGATTTTTCATCCTCAATGAAAATTTTTCGTTCATGGAAAGAATTTTTATTTTTTTCGGAAGCGACTTTAATAATGTCAAAATATGGTCATGTGTAGATCAATCTTTAGAATCTGACTAATCTTTTATTAGAATTCTGTGTCATGTGTAATGTGTTCTCATCATAAACAAAAATAAACAAAAGAAAAAGCAAGAGAAGTAATTAATTGAGATTCGGGACATTTTCCGACCTTCTATTCACGTTTCGGTTTGCTGAAAATGATCTGTTGCTGGCTTAGATTTCAAATGATTTAGTTGCATTTGTATGTGCTTGATAGGTTTCAATGATTATAAGCGAACAAGATGAAACTTAGATCGGTGAAATTTGAGTGATGAAAAGGTTCGTTGTCTTTTTTAACGATCTTAACTCGAAGATATGGTTCAGACACTGATCAGAAAATTGTATAAATTGTACAATTTTCAAAAAGTTTTGAATCAACAAAAATCAAACAATTTGAGATATTTTTTGAAACTTTGAAAAAAAACATGCTGAACTCTCTTTTGCAGTCTTTGGTATAGAAAGTTCGTTCTTATTTAGATATTGAATGAAATGGCTTTTAAGTTGCATCTTAGAAAAATTTTGAAAGGTACATTCAGAGGCTTAGGGGATTGTAAGTTAATTTAAACTCTATTGGATGAGATGCTAGCTTTAATTTGCTTTTCAAAAACATTTGAAATGTTCAACAATTTATTTGAATTGACTTAGAATAAGAATCTCTGTCCACAACCAAACATGCATGTCAATACATTCATTTCGATTTTAAAAATTCATAAAAGTTTGGCGTCGTTGGCATCAGAAATTTACCTACAGCCACACATGTGACAAAGACACGCATGATATTTTTTTTTCATTTAATCTTAAAATGTCCTCAAAATAATCATGGCATTGACCGAGACAGTTTAAAATAATTTCAATGTTTATCTTAAAAAATCTGATAAATTTTTCTTATTTATGATCATACTCGTGACGCTGGTTCATTACGTTCAATGTCAGAAGGTTTGATAAATTGCATGTTCTAGTTGGTGAATGTAAAGGATTTTAATTTAACTGATATATTAAGTTTATAACTTTGAATGTTAAGTTATAAATAATCCAAATGATTTAAATTAAATATTATATGTTTTTGATATTTTTGAGACGATTTTTAAACGAATAAAGTGATATTAATACTCAATTTTCTTAGATCTCCATTATTAAACCTAATCAAACCTTTTAGATCAACATTCAGTCAACAGAATGAACAATAATCTCAAAGATATATCTCATAGAATTAGTCAAACAATTTTCAACAAAGCTTCAATTATTTTCAATTCATGAGACGAAAAATTCCCAAGACTCATAAATTTCCTTAATCGATACCTTCAACATTGTTCATAAATCAAGGTAAAGTAAGCAAATGAAAGCCATAAGTTTACCCCTTAGTGATTTCAAATATCAAATGTGAACAAATTGATTTCAACTACAATGCAACAAAGTCATTCATAAATTAAGCACTTAATTGCATTACTGAATACTGGAAGGATTAAATATCAAGCACACGACGATGCAATAATTTACAATTGAAACGTTTATTTGTAAAATTTTGACATGTCAATAATATCTTGTAGAGTCCAAAAGTGGTGTAAAATGTTTGCTTGTAAATTCTCTCAGAATGGTAAGTCCATGATCATTAACATTAATTCAATTATTGTAAACCGAAACACGATTTTAAATGTCCAATAACTTTAAATCCATTTAAAGTTTTATTTTTCTGGTATTTATGGAATTATCGTCTCATCCCACTCAATCCTTATTATAATTATATTACAAATATCAGTTAATTAATCCTCAGGAAAGTGAAGCTATTCCCTTATCTACGCCACTGCAGCCGTGGCGCAAAATATTTTATATTTTATGTATATTGTTGCTTTCATTCAATATATGTCATTGATTTAAAAATATACGGAAAACTTATTTTATTTTTATTTTTTCATTCATTCTGTTTATTTTTAGCGAAACTCTCTCATTTGAATGTGAGCATGTATACAAAAAGGACAAGTGGAAAAGCCATCCTGTTGTTGATGTTATGAAGCATTTCTTCATTAATTTGCTACATTTAGATTATTGTGGATGTTTTGAATCTAATTGGAATGTTTTTCATCAATCTTTTGCTAGTTTAAACTCCTACATTAGGTTAGTTCTTAGAAAATTGTCTGCTGTTTTGAGTTCGAGTTTGCTGAGTAATGTGTTTGCAATTTTTTCTTACTCCTATTGAAAATTTTGATTTCTAAGTTTTTCATCATTACAATTTCTATTTAAAGATCTTAAAGGGTTTGTTCTAGAATAACGATCAATTTTTAAGAAGATTAAGGAATTTTGGAACTAAGTTCAGATCAATTTGTATGTTTGCTAATGTTCTTGATGTTCAAACTCTTAGCAAATTATGGAAATAAGGAATCAAGCTAGTGATTGGTCTGAAAAAAACCTCACCAACTCGTTTCTGAATTTCTTTTCTTGTCATAAGCTCAATTAAGAACATTCACTCAATTTAAGAATAACAATCTAACTTCAGTTTAGGTTGAGATCACATTCAGCCAAACTGTACTCCAAAGAACCCAATTTAATCAATAAAAGATTACTCCACAAAATCGAGAACAATTTTTTTTCATGAACGATAAATTTGAATTTTTTGTGTGTGCATTTTGAGAATTCGCAAAAAAATGGCGTAAAATAAAATTCAATATTTAATGAATATTTTTTTCCCTCATCGATACATTCAATGAATTTATATCAAATGCTCGGAGAGTAGCCATGAACTTGTATATCTCATATACCACAAAAACCACACATAGTCAACCGAACAACATGAAAAAAAATTCTCATTTTTGATTACTTTTCATTTGTAAAAATGAGAATTTTAACGATCAATTAATTGCGAAAGGAAGTTGTTTCTTGCTTTTTATGATGAAAATGACCGAGTGACAGAAGACGTTGAAGGTTTTTATTTGATTAGATAATAAACTGAATTTTGATTCAAACTATGGCAAATACTTAATTCTATAATATGGAACAATGTCATAAAGACTTAAGATTGACCTAATGACGCTTGGTTATAAGTTGTCTTGCAAATAATAAGATTTCCACTAGTTTTTAATCCACAAATATCAAGATCTGAGCTTAAAATTCCTTGTGTTATCAAGCATGTGTAAATTTAGCTCTTCATTGATTAGGGATCGTGTCTCTAAGACAATAATAATAATTCATACAAATCCCATCGAATCCTCGAAAGTTTAATCGATAAAAATAAATTTCTTATGTCACTCGGTCTCACTTTCACTAGCTATTGTCATAGCATGTACAAAATAAAATTTCTAGGAGAATCAATAAATTCCGAATCGACAACAAATTGCGAATATCTACCGAAAAATTGACAAAAAAATCACTTCTTTAAATAAATTCGAATGATTTGCAAAAAAAAATCTGCTCACGACAACCGAACAAGCGATGTTTATTGAATCAGCACGAAGAAGTGACTGAGCGAATAATCCACAAAATTTTCCTTACATATTCATAGATATCGCAATTAAAGTAAATTTTAGAGCAATCGTAAGACGAGATTGATTGATTTTTTTTTGAATTTGACTAATTGATGGTCACTTAAGTTCATTTGTCAAAATTTTGTAACTACTCATTTTTGCATTAAAAGTTTGAGATCATAGCCAAAAGAAGAAGGAAAATTGAGTGGAAATGAAGACGATTTTCCCACGCAAAATAAAAATAGAATTGAGAATGAATTATCATATTTTATGTATCATCATCATCCGTGAATTCAAAATTGAGAGCAGCTGCCATATATTAAAAATCAAAACTATGTAACTTTGAGAATTAATGATTATTTATGAGATAAATACTTGCATATATGCACTTAGTCTATATTGACATTTTATTATTTTCTCACATGTGGCATTTAAATTATGACAATTATTTCCCTGCTTATGAAGTTTGTTGCTGTTTATAAATTGTTTCTGTGTTTGCTTATTTTTTTTTACATCCGATGTAGATTGTTGATGATTAATTTGTGAGTAATGAAGATGGGTTCATACCCTCGTCAGGAATGTATAAATTTTTTGATGGGTGAAAATTCATCTGAAATTTTAGATGATTCCACGAGATGAAATCATTTAAAATTTCACTTTTACACCTTTTGAGATTTTTTAAGCTTTGACTTCAAGAGAACCGGTGTTTTTTTATATTACTTTCTTATCAATAAGGGGCCGTTCACTTATTACGTTCGCATTTTAGGGGGGAGGGGGGGTTTGAAAATTTGTAACAAAATGTAACATAAGGGGGGGGGGGGGTGTCAAGAAGTATGTAACGTTCCAACTGTCGTCTGTCTTTTAAAAAAAAAGTTCACGAAAATTCACACCAAAAACATTTTTTCAAATTTTCAGGGGGGGGGGGGGGGGGTTGAGAGTTGTAACATATTGTAACAAGGGGGGAGGGGGGGATGAAAAAAGTCGTTTTTTTGCGTAACGTAATAAGTGAACGACCCCTAAGAGCTAATAATCAATATATTAATAATTGTATTGAATCTACGTTAATTGAATTACAGATTAGCTGTGTTCTGTGAGTTTAGAACTTAGAGATTTTATTCAGCTTGTTCTTCGATCAAATATGTAAGGTTTAAGCATGTCTAGTCCTGTCTAGTCTATCATAATGGTCTTTCAAATCAAATCAAAATTGTCCTTAATGTATGGTTTCTTTTCTTGTTCAGACTAGTCCAAGGATACATCTTGTTATCAAATCCACAATTCAAACCATCCTAAAAACCCTTAAAACATTCGCAAAATTTAAAAAAAAAAACATAGTTTTCTTGAATAATTGAACAGAACTTCTACAAAATCACCCGAAACTTAAAACTAAGATTTTAAATCAAATTGAAAATCATTACAGTAGTTCCAACGGTTTTTAAAAATTCAAATCAACATCAACAGCCTTCGTACCCCCATTTTAATGATTTTAGTATACTCCTTTTTTCACTTTCACAAAAATCCAAATTACTCAAATTTAAACAATATCTGAATACTCTGAATCATTCAAATAAACAAATTAAGCAATTATCTACAAATCTGCATACTCACATTTAAACGTCATCGCCTGTAATTCGTAACAATTCCATTAAACATTTGTAAACAAAATCAGAAAGTTCAGTGACCTCGAAGAAAATTTTTTTCGCAATGTAAAATTATAATTTTTTAACTTTTCTAAATCAAACAGTGCAATAATGGACTACTGCCGTATTTTAAGTAACATATTTAGTACAACGTTCTCGAAAGATGATGGAAAAGACTTTATGTCATGCATAGAAGCTGCGAATAAGCACTTGGATCAAAAATTGGAAAGTTTCAATGAGAAAGTTGATGAAGCAAGAGATACAGAGGTAATTGCACTTTCTAAAACGATTGTCTGGGATGTTGAAAGTACGGAGAATGTATCCAACTTGGTGAAAATGTCAAAAGATCGACTTTCCATAACTTCCAAGTCAGCCTTTTCGACACTAAAATGTAATTCCTGTGTTATCGCTGGAAGATATATGTATGAAGTTCAACTAAAGTCCAAGGGCGTTATGCAAATTGGTTTCTGCAGCTCTCAATGTAAATTTACACAAGATACGGGCGTTGGCGATACAAAATATAGTTATGGATTAGGTAAGAACAATGGAATTTTTCAATTTTAAGATCCAGTGCCAGAAAATGATTGATATTGATTTTTTATTTTGGATGATTATGTGCTATTAGGGAAATTAGTTCTTGCTTTGAAATATTCATGCAATTATTTATTCTTATACTGAAAAGAATTGCATGACTAGGAAGTATTTTGGTGATTACATGGAAGTTTATGGCTGACATTAAACGGAAATATTCGTTGTCTAGCCATTAATTCATGGGAGGCACGAAGACACTTTGTTTTGACGAGCTTCTGTCTATTTTCTTTTGCCTTGATCTTTTTGAGAATCAATAATATTCAATCATTATTCAGCACTGGATTCAAAACTCATCTCCCACGACTAAAGCTTGACTTAAATTGAAGTTAATTGAATAAAATTGTTTAATTTTGTAGACGGCAGTAAGAAGCGGCTATGGCATGTATACACGAAAAACTACGGTCCATATTGGCGATCTGGAGATATTTTTGGCGTGTGTCTGGACATGAGTAAAGGAATAATTGAGTATTATAGGAATGGATTGTCTCTTGGAACAGCATTTGAAGATATTGAACGTGGAATTGGAATATCATTGTTTCCTGCAGTCTCACTAGCATTTAATGACTCATTGACTGCGAATTTTGGTGGATCTCCATTTCGATATCCAGTTCATGGCTATAAGCCACTCCAATTACCACCGATGAAACTTTTATATCAAGCTGATCAGCTACTTGAATATTTAGTCAATATAGCTCGCTTAATTAGCTCAAAACATAAAGAATCATCAACCGTGCCAAAATCACCAACAGACATATCCGTCGATTCACTTTACATGCTCATATCAGCGCTCATCGTAGAACGAATGATTCCATTGTTAATTAATTCATATGTGGTTGAAGATAAAATCATTAAAATTATCAAGAGTTTATGCGTGTGTAAGAGTACAAGTGATTCCTTAATTCAACCAGGCGTAATTGGTAGTACATTGGAGGCTTTCCTGTCACTGTTGTGGACGAACATGGAAGATTTTGAGATTAAAATTTTTCTCAAACGTTTATTAAATTATTTATCAAATACGTTTAAGGAAACGCCAACTGATCTCGAGTATGAAAATCAGCGGACGATTATTGTGATTCTAACATGCCTGTGCAATCACACGCAAACGAGAAAGTTTTTTCTTGAACATAAATTCTTTAAGAAAAATTGTTTACCTTTATTTCTGTATATAAAACCACCTGACGAGTCAACGCTCGAGTTGTTGCTATCTGACGATATAATATGGACGGAAGGATTAGGTGGAATAAAGGAAGTTTATTTAGAGGCGTGCGAAAAGCTAAAGTCATACACCTCAATTTTGTATGAGCGACAAAAGAAACTCATTTTAACGTTGCTGAATAATGTTGATGGTGACGAGAATTCTCCGTCTAGTCGAAAAATTTTCATGAATCGATTTAGGAGCTTTGCGCTTGATAACTTGTCGGTATGTATTAATAACTTAGATGGTGGTCTAGTCTTTAAATACAAATTTTGAGCTTTAACGGTTAAAAAATATTTGAAATTTAACGTTCAAAAATTATTTGAAATAGCTCGCAAAAATTTCAAAATTATTTTCAACAGATTTTTAAGTCGACTTACAAAATCACAGAACTGAGCCCTTTCTGAACTCCTTATTACATTCCCTATTAGAAACTCCACCTTAATTTGCATACTACATGTATAAATTTATAATTGCAGGCATCATTCAACACAACAACACAACCAGCTATTGGTTTATCACTTTTATGCTTATTGCTTGATGTTGCGAAGCAGCTACATGATGAAGAGAAATCTGAAAAGCCGTATTTGATAGTAAATCATCGATATTTCTACGACAACACCTTTAATTATGGACACATTGATAGAGTTGGTGGCGTTATGTCTCATTTGTGTCGGGTCTTTAAAAAGGAACTGACGAACGCACTTGGTAATGAGCATCAACATGTTGAAATTCCACCGGAACCCAACAATCTCTTACGAGATATTTATTCGACAATGTTTTTAGTCAGCACTGGCAATGGAACCAGTACATATTCAGTCGTTCGAAATGCTCTCAGTGATCAAACAAATCATCAACTTACTATGCCGATATCGCCTGGAAATATTGACAATCATAAATCAATTTGTGAAATTATTGATTGTACTATAATGTTTTATCAAAGTGTAGCATACAAATATGTTGTTATGATTGCTGATTTACGAGACAATATAAGTCATTTGTCAAACATTTTAATGGAGACAAAGAATTGTCGTGATGAAGTAACGAGAAATTTGGAGGAATATAAGAATTCTATTGAGGGTGTCAGCTCGACACACGATGAGATATTAAAGGAATTGTCGGAGAAGTTTTGTGAGAGGAAGAACATCTTTGCTGTAAGTAGAAACAATTTTATTTATAACTGTCGTGAAATGTTTAAAAAGTAAAGGTTAAAAAATTTTGAAAATTAACCGATTCAAATTTGAAAAAAATAATAACTGAAAAAACATCCTTAGAAATAATCAAATTCCTGCTTCCATTTCAGAAACGTTCTATAGAACTAGCAAGGAAGCAAGCATGGTACCGATCAGTAGCTTTAGGTACACAAAGAAGAAGTCTCTTATGTTGGTTAACTGGATGTGTCTTTAAGACAATCGAAGAGGCTTCATCATCAAATGTTCTCTTCTCATTCGTACCAGAACATTACATTACAGTTCTACCGTTGCTTCTTGATACAATTTTGGACTTTAGCTTTCATGATTCAGGCTTACAGCATGGTCTTGTTGAAAATCAAGACTTATTGGACATGAGTGCTGAGTTTTTAAGCTCTCATTTAGCTGATTCGCGCGTTATTATCGCTTCCTGTAAAGATGCATTAATTCAAGCTTTAGGAACGTTGACTTGTCATCAATCAGGCATTAAGGCTTTAGAAAATTGTTCTGAGGAATCTCAACTGCTTCTTGTTCGTGCTTTGTTGCGAAAATATGAAAATCGTGCTTGGGGTCAAAGTAATTGGATAATGTTAAGATTCTGGCTTGGTGAGAATTCAGCTTTTGCTTATCGTGATCCACGACAACCGTGCATCTTTCAGGATAATACACAAACGACCATAACACTGCCATTAATTCGTGGACGACAAAAGAATAGTTCACATACAGGTTTACTACATTTAATAGCACCGCCGTGTCCAAGTAAACATTTCCAGCAGCTTATTAGACAAGTGCTTATTGAGGATGAACAATATAGCACTGGATTTTTGAACTCGCTGCTTACTCAATTAAATTGGGCATTTTCTGAATTTATTCATATTCTGCAAGATATTGAGAATTTATTACAACGAGACAGTCAAGCTTTACTGCCCGATCCACGTCAATTAAAAATATGTAGCATGTGCTTTGACTTGACAATATCTTTAATGCGTGCTTTGGAAATGATTGTTAATATAGCACCAGAAATATTTAAGGACTCAACACGACCAAACAGCGATAATTTATTGGGACGAGTCTCACAATTAGTCATTCAAGTGCTGTCACGTGTCACTGTCCCACCATCATGCTTTCAATTTGTTATTGACTTGTGTCTACCAGATTTGATTAGTGTAACTCATTTTGCTATTTTGACAGCAGCGCTTGGAACCATTCTTGGATTAATGAGCGATGAATTGATTTTTGAGACGCTTGCAAAGCTTCCGAAAGTTTCACGTCACATCCTGACTGATTCCTCATTTCAAATTGCATGTCTGGAATTTGCGCTTGGCGAAATTAAATCTACCGTTCATGTGCCTAATGCTGATCAACCGAGAGGAAATTTCGATCCTAAATTAAATCGATTTGTTGATCCATTGACTAACGAAATACGTAAAATTCCATCTCATCGATTGCTCAACGAACGGACAATGAAAAACGATCCACCCATTTTGAAGTTTAATTTGAGTGACTGTGAGTAATTATGTGTTCTTAATAATGCCTTAAAGATAATTTGAATTAAAATTTTAACAGTTTTTTGAAATTCAAAATTTAACTGTTAATTTCAATTTGAATATCCGAAAACCATACAAATGATTTCAAATAGAAACATTTGTAAGGTTTCAAAATTTGAATCTTAAGAAGTCGGTAAAATTTGAACTTTATAAATCTGCTAAAATTAGAATTGATTCTTACAAATTTAATTTAAATTCCAGATATGACACACGTCACCAACGATGAAATCGAGAGAGTCAAGAAGTTAATTGAAGTTTTACAAATGCGTCAATCATTACTGTCTGAAACAACACTCGTTTCTGAGGATGCTCTTTGCACAATTTGTTATGCACGTCAAAATGGTAAGAAACTAGATTTTATTTGAAGCATATGATTAATAGTCTTGTTGTTTTAGATGTAATATTCGAACCGTGCCTTCATCAATCCTGTCATTCATGCATAATCCAGCATTTAATGAGTGTAAAGCAATGCTTTTACTGCAAGGCATTCATAACAATGGTGAAGAAAATGGACGGAACTATTTTATACACAAATGAATCATCGCCATCATCACGCGCTGATTCATTGAATATTGAATCAACCAGCACAAGTCATCGTGATACACAGGATTTAGATGACATTGACACAAGTAACTGATCTCACAACGAATGGATTTAATCTATTAAGGATGTTAAATCCATTCGTTTAATACAAACTTGATCATCCTAATAACAACCACTAAACACAAACACTGTCACTGCTTATCCTCCGTACCCTATCTCAATGTGATTTTTGATAAATAATATAGAATTTTATAAAAATTATTCAAACTATATTACTAGATGTGATCCATGCTTAATCTCCTCTAACTTAACACTTAGTGCAATAATCTCAATGAAATAATATATTTAAGATAAATATTCTTATTTACACGTGATTTATGAAAATATCAAATTATTTCAGTATTGTTTCTGCATAGCTTTGGAGAAGCTTATATGTGCAATTTAGATCTCTTTTTTAAATTATTAAAAATTGTATTTATTAAAAAAATTGACGGCTTTTTTTATTCGTCAAAAATGAAATTTTCGTACTTTTCACATGAGTAGAAGCGGCATCGCACCTGTCGACCTTAAAGGAAATTAATTGAAAAAATTAGCTTTTAGCGGTTTTTCGAAATTCAAATATTACGGGTTTCAAAAATTCAAAATTTAAATCTTCAGATTTAGTTTAAATCCGAAGATTAAAGTTTCAAATCCTTAAACCAATAATCTCACCTCCAAAAAACCTTCCATTAAGATCCAATAGTGCCTTAATAGCACATTCAAGTCGACTGAATTCCACAAATATTCTCACAGTTTCTTCAGGAATTTGATTAGGCATTTCCATAATGTGAACTGTTATAACTTCTCCGTACTTTGTCGTACATTCATCCTTTACTTCCGGCTCGAGTTCATCGTCGACCTAGAAATTATTAAACATTAGCTTAATTTATATATTTATTCGGCTTCCTTACCTCTCCAGGCCCAACCATATTACGCAATAAAATGACTTTACTTGGACTTTTAAGCATGTCTGTGATACTTTGATCACTGGCACCGAATTGTGGCTGTTGTGTTGATGGCTGTGCTGTTTGTGCTATGACTGGTAAGACTTCTTTTATTTCTTTTTCATTGATGATCCTACCACCACGTTTAGATGTTTTCTCGACTATTAGTGCTGTACTTATTCCTTGTTCTTGTTTTCCTAAGCCTTGACCATCCTTAAATCCATATTTTGCCATTATTTTTGCTGCTACTTTTGATGCTCCATATTGTGCTGATATATTCGGAATATCGATAATTGTTGAGCCTTCTTGTAGTGATTTTGGTGGAGCAATTGCTGTGCCTGTCCTTGATGATTGATTCATAGCTGGTCTAAATTCTTCGTCTTCTGAGGATCGTCTCTTTCCAAAACCTGATTTTCTTGGTGACTTTGAACGATGTCGTTTCCTGTCTTCCTTCTTATTATTCTCACGACGTTCCTTTACAATCTTCTCATACTCATTGGGTATCGATGGATTATATTCATCCTGAATAGCTAAAAACTCATCAAATTCACTTGACTGTGAACTTTGTGGGATAATCGGTGTAAGTGGCTGACTCTGTATTATTCTAGGCTTAATAATCTCTTTTGGCTTAGATTCATCCACAATTTTGGGCTTCAAGTTTATTACCGGCGTTAAAAGCTGTAATTAAAGATTGTTTTGTGAAATTGGAACTTTTTGATAGCTTAATTTTCTCACGTTAGGCTTTTTTGGCTGTTGTATTTTGTTTAATGCTAGTTGCGGCATGAGCTTACTAAAGCCTGAACTCCATTCTGACACTTGTTTTGTGTCTACATCGTCGTAAAGCGACATTTTTTGCTAATTTTATTAATTTTTGCTTTTTTTTTTGTTTTTCTTTTATACTTGTGTTTGTGTTTACAAATACATTCACATTTTCAAATTCAAAACTACCGTTAAGCTGCTTTGAGAATTGAAGCTTTTGGAAACTGAAATTCATACAGCGCTAAACTAGCTTTATTTAAAATCATTTAGACTTGTTAAATTAATTAATGGATAGTCGCTTGAAGCACAGGAACTCATTTTTCTTCTTTAAGCCCCTCGAGCAATTGCGACAATTTTTAAGGGGAAATTTCAACAATTTAAATTTTATTTGACTGTTAAAGTTTGTAACCTCAATTGAAAGTATTCTTGCTCAAATTATATCGAAAGAAGTGGTGAATTTAACTGATTTTCAGATCAAATCTACTTCATTACAGTAAGCACATGACTAAAGAATTAAATGTAATGAAGATAGAAGCGAATAATTGCTTTATTTTTTAGATATGGACTTCTTGTCACTATTTCCGTCCGAAATTTCTGATCTTATTTTGGGAGAATTATACAGTGAAGACATGCTTAATGCCTCACTAGTTTCAAAGCATTGGTACAATTACATAGCAAATTCAAAGAGATGTATGAAGAGTGTTGCCATATATTATAAAGGTAAACTGGATCAGGACATAAATCCATTGCTAAATAGCTGTCGACAGTACCAATACATGAGATTTATATGCGATGAAAATGAGTTTATAAAGCATAGACGGATTGAGAATATATTCAGACTTATTCTTAACAAATTCTCAGACTCAATAGTAAGCTTGCAGACATCACACGACACAAAGCGTGTGTCACTTAAAAAATTAATGTTTTTTTCAATGTCATATCGCCGATATGCTGTTATCTATCCCAACGGAATCTTATCGACATCAAAAATCATCGAGAGACTAGTTATTAAGTGTCAATTGGAAAACAAGTCTATTGAAGTTATGAAAAAGCTCCTGCAAAATATGACAGAACTGAAAATTTTAGGTGGAACTTTCTATTACTTTATGCCAAACTGGCAAGACTGGTTTAATCATCAATTCAGTCTCAAGGAAGTCACCAACTACCCACCTCGGACGTATATTAATGAATTCTTACTTGAACATCGCTCAACAATCGAAAAAGTCAGAATTAAGTCAACAGAAAATCTGGAATTTATGCTGACAAGTTTTCCTCGATTGCACACAATAGTCATCGAATCATTAACAACAGAACTAAGTCATGACTTTCCTTTTAACGAAACTGTCACAACCTTAATCATTTCAAATCCACCTGAACAAAGTCTTGATTACACCATAATTCGCATACTGTCCAAGCTTAAGAATCTAAAAGTTATAAAATTGTTTTTAATCACATTTGAGGTCTTGTTGGCTATATACTCCTTACGTTCTACACTTAAAACATTTTTCTTCGTCAAGACTGAGGATACAGAATTTATGCGATTCGGATTAAGTGTCTTAGCTAATCATATGAATGTCCGACAGTTGCTTTACAATGTTTAAAATTTTGTATACAGAAAAAAAATAACGTTTTTATAATTAAATAAAGCATAAATGCTTAGTTCCTTTATTTCTCTCAAATATTTCAATTAATTCATTATAATATCAAATAGTTCATTAATTAAGTCTGTGCAAAAGTCTTTTCCAGTCGCACAGTATTTTTTAAAAGAAGTCGTCGGCTTTTCCTTCGTTAGACTTAAACGAACCATCGCCGAAAAAGTCATCCTTATCGTTCGTGCCATTATCAAAATTGAAAAAGTCATCAACGACTTTGTTGCCGCTGCTGTCAGTTTCGCTCAATTCGCGTGAATTATCAAAATTAAAATCAAAGCTTTTATTGAGTTCCAGATTGCCTGATGAATTTGGGCTCGTGCAGAAGAGTTGTTCAAATGATTTCGACATTTCGGGAGACTGAAATTTGATTAAAATTAAAACATTCGGATTTAAAATAATTTGTAAATTTAGAAAATTAACAGATTAAAATTAATCCATCAATTTAAATTCAGCACTTACAGCTTCCGGATCGACATTTTCTATTTCCATATCAAATATCTCAATGTTACTGATATTATCTGCAGGACTTTCTTGTTCCATGTTAACTTCCTCAGCATCGTTTGACGATATATCTGGCATATTTGTGTCGTCATTTTGAAGAATCTGAGCATTTAAATCAACTTCCATTCCATTATTTCCACTCGATTCTGTAATTAAAGCTTCTGGTTGTGCAACCGCATTCAAATTTGAGTCAATTGAATTTTCAACAATCAGATTTTCGTCCACAACTATTACTTTGTCAGCAGCTAATGGATTTTCGTCCACAGTCATCAATTTGTCAGTATTATCGCCTGAAGTCATTGCATTATTTTCATCAACAATCATTTGATTTTCATTACTATTGTCATCAGTTGATGAACTGTCTTCATCTACAATCATTTCATTATCAGTGCCTTTATTGGCCTTCTTTTTGCCACGACTTTTCCTTACTTCTTTCTTTGGACTCTTGACTTTTTTACGAATGATTTCCTTCTTATCATGTTTCATTTCAGCCTTTTTTGGAGATACTTTTTTAGGCGAGATCTTTTGTGACTTTGAGCTCTTTCGTGGACGTAATCCTCGTTCTGTTGGCTGCTTTGAAACTGAAGCACAATTCATGTTAGTTTCCATTCTTTCTAATGATCCACTTTTTGTAGGTTTAGGTTTTGATTGTTTTCCATTCCATTCTGGTCGTATAAATGGACTCTTGACTTTCGGTTCAACATTACTCTTTTGAACTGTTTTAGGTGGCTGTGACTTCGGAGGTTCATCATCATAGGTAAACAATGGTCCAGATGAGAATCTTTGCAAAAGTAAGTGTCCATTTTCATCTGTTTCTAATTCGTGATAAGCCTTACGTCTAGTTGGACGATATTCACGTCCAAGAGATGGAGTTTGTGGCTTTTCTGACAAATTCATTGATGATTTTTGACGCTGTAACGCAGGTCGTGAATTACTAGAATTAGAACTTGAACTTGGACTACATGTCATTGTAGGATAACGTTGAGGACCGCTTGGATCCCAATCCGTTTGATCAAGTGAACGACGCACTTGAGGCTTAGTAGACGGTTTGCCAAGATTTCTTGATGCATATGTTCGTTGCAACATTCCAGAATTATTGTTGGAACTAATATTTAATTTTAGTCCAATACTTTCCATAACTCGAGTTTTTTCAGTTTCTGAATTCTTTAAACTACGAGCTGGTGATGATGGCTGTATATTTGGTTTCTTTCCGTCCTTTTCGTGTTGAGAATAAGATCCAGTCATATTCTTTCTACGTTTAGATGGTGGATTAGCTGGTGTTAAGAGCTTGCGCTTCTTCTTTTGCTTAAATTTCTTGCTTTTATCAAGAAAGTCAAGCAATGTTGGAAAATCATTTGGGTTTTTGAATTCCGACCTCTTTTTCTTGTCCGGCTTAGAGGTTGAAGCATTTGAGTCCTTCATTTTATCTTCCATCTCGGTAATCTTATTTTCTAAGAGATATTCATCGAATAACCGGATTTCAGTTTCCATTTCCATGTTACGAACTTGAATGCGACAAGTTTCAACTTCAATAACTTCATTTTGTCTGCGAGCTTCGATGATATTTGCTTCTGTTTCGGCCAAAAGATCATTTTCTTTTGTGACTTTTTCGAGTTCTTCTGTTACTTGAATCAAGTCCGTTTCAGCTTATATAAACAATAAATAAATTTAACTTTAGATTTAAGTGATTATTAAATTATTGTATTACTTACAAATGTTACCAGAAGCATTTTTGTTCAGTTCATTTATCAGTTCTTCTTTTTTGTCACAATCTAGCATCAACATTGGGAATATTTTTTCGCGATATTCAACATACATATTTTTGTTCTTGTCAAAGTATCTCTTGCGCTTTCGTTTGAGCTTCAGTTCCATTCGTTCATCTCTCAATTCTGAGTTTTCAGTTCTTATATTCTCGTAATACTGCTTTAACATTTCCAAAGAAGCTTTTGCATTCTTTAACAATTCAATTTTTGGATCATTTGTATTATTTTCCTTCCTTTCTACTACTTCCTGCTCACACACTGTAAAAATAGTATTAAAGCATGTTTTATGTTGTTTATAAAATTTAAATAACTTACATTTAGCGAACAAACACATTTTATAGTTATTATGAAGGAGTTTACTAGCAAGATTCTTTGCATCTGTTTCTGGACCTTTATTTGTTGACATTTCCTGAATTAATAAAATTTCAACATTTTTCGCTAATTTCGTTGAAAATGCAATTAATTTACCAGATATTCAGCTTGAATCTCTTCAATAGTCTTCAGTTTTCTTGTCTCTGCCATTTTTAACACAATTAAACAGCTTTAAACTCACAAAATCTTAATTAAATCTAAAATCGACTGCGTTATTTGAAATTTTTCACTCAAATGATTTTCAACATGGCGAAATGGTGAAAAACACATGCAAAAAAATGGTGAATAAAAATTTCACCACAAAAAGTTTGAATTTTTTAAAAACCGTTACAAATCTCAACACATTTTCAATAATGTTTGCAGTAATTTTAAAACCTTTATTAATCTCACAAAATGTTCAATCGAAATCACCTTAAATGCTAAAAGAAAACTTGAAATTGAATGAAATGTAAATATTTTTTACTACTGAACTGGATTTTCTAATCCCAACTTTTCAACATAATGTCTCGCCTTCAATCGTAAATCTGCGATGCTGGAATTCTTATTGTGTGCTGCCAATGCTGTCGCTAAATTTAACGGATACTGAGGTAATGAAAAAAGTGATCGATCTAATGTGGCACTACTGATAGCTGCTGCATACTGAAAAATGTCACAAAAATAGATAAAATATCAAGTTTGACTGAATTTTCTAGCTTACTTGATGTGCGGCTGTTAGCAAAGCAGGATCAAATGCTGAAAAGGAAGCAGCTGATGGGAAGGTTGATGGCGTTACACTTGCTGAAGTCGTTATAACACTCGTCGTTGTTTGTTGAGACCTCAAACTCGACGGTACATTCACATACGGTGCTACTCGACATGATTCAAGTGCTGATGATATTGGTGTTCCAGTATTGGCATGATTTGTTATCAATATCCCTAAAAATAACATAGCATTTAACATCAATTACATTAAATAAGTGTTTAACTACATATTTTCATTTTTATTCTCAAATTCAAATTAAGTGTAAAAGAATGGGGGAAGATTGAATCATTTAGCGAAGGATTTAACTGATTTACAATCTCCTAATTGATTAGATAAACATTAACTTGCCGAAGCAGCTCAACATGGAAAAATAATAAAGTGCTATGGATTTACATTCTGCTATACATGTTTAACCCCTCTTTACTGCTTTCTCAATGATGCAATAAATAAATCTGTCACCCTCTCTCTCCGGTTCATTTCTTGAGCTTGTTCTAGACAGGAGTGTAGCTAGGGGGATTGGAAATGAATACCTTAAACATTTTTCACTTCCCTCCCTGATCCTCTATCAAATACAAAGTAATCGAATTTGTTAGCGATAGAAAGAGACACAAAACAAAAATAAAAGACTCTTTTCAATCGGAGTGAAAAAGATGTGTCGTAGAAAAGAATGCCAATGTTTATTGAATGCGCAGTTATTTGAAAAGAAGTGATGCCTTTCTATTAAGCTAAATATTAAACAATTTCCTTTCTATTGCTATTATTTTATTGACAATTTTGTACATTCAATCTGCATTTATTTGAATGAAAAACATGTAATTATATTAAATTGATCTTTCCAATCTTGATTAAGAGAAATGGAAATTGCTGAACTTAGACTCGCATTTTTGTTAATAAAGTTTAAATTGAAGCAAATTACAATTTTTTGATGGTCAATCTTGTCTTCCAGTACGTTTTTGATTCGTTTGTGACCGAAATCTTAAATCAGAATAAATAAATTCCAAATCTTTAAAATGTTAAAAAAAATCAATTCAACTTCAATAAAAAGAATTTTCAATTTATCAATAAAGCAATCCTTAAAACTCAATGAAAGTCACAAAAACAACCTCAGCATCAAAATAAAAGCATCAGACAAACCGTAAATAAACTTCTCTTGCATTATTGTCGCAACCCAACCGAATAAAGGGAAAAAGATAATTCAATTAAGTGATTACAATTGCTGATGTCATTTAATTCCCTCATTCCGTAATCGTTTAAACATTTTTGATATTGTTAATTAAATTAAATATTTGCGTAATTTATTTAAAATATTTTCATTTTGGAAGTAAAATTTTGTGAATCATGTGAGTGAATATTTACAATAGCTTAATTAAAAAGTCAAATAATGTGGCTGTGAAGTCTGTGGACCATCCATCAATCCCTCAAAAAAAAAAAGGGATACGATAAGGGGCTGTTCACTTATTACGTAACGCGAAAAAATGACTTCTTAGACCCCCCCTCCCCCCTCGTAACAAAATTTGTATGAAAAAAAAAATTTCCTTGTTTGAATCGTAACAAAATCTTAGACCCCCCCCCTCCCGCTAAAAGCGTTACGTAATAAGTGAATGGCCCCTAAGGAAATAATCTTTCAAATGCAATATGTTAATCAAATTTAAAGTCATTCAATTGATATGGGACGAGATTACGTCCTCACATCCAAAAACGTCTCTTTTACAGCATAAAGACATTCATGGATTGAAGAAAAGGTGCTATTAATATCAGTAAGTGAATAAAATGCTGCTGTATAACATGATTGCATAATGTGTCTCATGAGAATAACGAGCTGGCTGTGAGACACTGCTTCCCTCCCATTTTTATTTAAGCATTCAAATCGTGATTTACATCCATTTCAAAAGCCGTTTATGTCTCAGTGGAGAAATTAAACTTTTTTTTTTATCAATTTTCAATGTTTTCTTTTTAAGTATGCTGAAAGGAACTAGTTGAAGAGGTTTGGGTATTTTTGAGAATTAAAAAGATTTTAAAATTAAAATTAAAAGAATTAAAAAGAGTTTAGGACTTTTTTGAATGCATTATTGAATAAATAAGTCCTTAACGTCTTGAGTTCACGCTAAAAAGCTAAAATCTACTAAAGTCGACTCATTTCAGAGTCAATATCTGACTCAAAAACTGATCCTTAAAAGGCAAAAGTAGTTAAATGGTTCGTCAAGGGTGCAGAGCTGAATCCGGTTTCTTAAACCACTCGAAGAACCCAAGACACCGACAAACTGTAAGCAACAACAAATTCCTTCCCAAAAGTAGAGCTCAACAAATTTAAAAATTAAATTTACATTCACAAATTTCCATTTTTTATGTCAACAAGAGAAAATTCAGTCATTGATAGTTTGTGCAATGTTCAACATTGTGTGAATATGTGCAAATTTTCAGTCTACATACATAGAAATGTGGTTTGTTCCACATACAAATTTATGTGGAGAAATAGCAAAAATATTTGTATTTTAATTGTAAAATCCATTCACGTTTCTTGTTCGTTTCCTCCTCGTTAACATTAGTCTAGAGAAGGAGAAGCATCCCCATTATGGCAAAAAAAAAAAATTATATGCAATGTAAGCATGAATACAGACATTTCCAAAATGGCGCAAATAAAATATAATTTTTTATCGTCTCCCTTTAAATGGGATCATCTCAATCATCGATGACTGTAAATGGAATATCGCATACAATATTGTTTCACTAAATTGAATCGTAATCGAATAAAAATATTTTTTTATGCTTGAAAAAAAATGAAAGCTTATGGCAGCAATTTAACAGAATAAAAATCGATGCCAATTGGCAATTTCTATGACCCCGAAATGCAGACTAAAGTAGCATGTATTTTCTGTTATATTCATATGCATATTTTCACATAAAATTTGAGTTTTCTGGTATTTCTGAGAGGATAAGTTTGCTATTAATGTTCTGTCTAGATGTCAACTGATTTGACAATTGTAATTTTGATAAAGTTTGAAGTTAATTTATGCTCATGTAGGGTTATATCGGGTGTATATCCGTTTTGGTATTATTCTTGAAAATTTCTAAAAAGTCTTCGTGAGTTCGAGTTCTTAACTAAAATCAAAGAGGTTTGATCAGTGTGATGACTAAACTAAAGTTCTGAGTTGTTTGCTGGAAAATGAGGTTAAGATAGGCAATTTCACAACTTTGAAGATAATCTTCAAATTATTGAAGCATGTTTTATTACAAAACAGAACATCTTATACTAAAAGAACTTCCAATTGATAACCAAACCACAACTTAATAAACAAATCTTCTAAAAAATACGCCCAATGTCATTCGATGACTCTCAAACTTGTCACAATTTTTCAATATCTATTCCTTCCTTTTCTCTATACAATTTTTTTTTGTTTATAAAAAAGAGAGATTTATGATTTTCACCATAAAAGCATACATACGAGAGTAACATCAGTAAAAATTTATCGAGAGTCGTTTTGACTGTTGCGTAATTTAATAAATATTTGATTCCAATGCTCATGCTATTGCTTACGTATAAGAGGCATTTCATACACAAATATACACAAGAATGAAACATTGTGGATGGAATTCAATTATAAAATCAAATAAAATTACGTAAAATATGTGCACGTTTCATTGGGATGTTGTTTAAGATGATAAAAGGGAAACAAATTCATGTTGAGATGTAAAAAAAAATCGCATTACATATTTCTCAGGCATAATCTAATTATGAAAGCTAATAAAAAATGTTTTTTAAGGAAAATTGTAAACATAATTTTTATGGCACGTTCTGGAGGGGTTTGAAGAAACTGCGAGAGGTAAGTAGTGTGCTATTTTAAACGGAGAAGTTTGAGTTTAGGATCTAGATTCTAGATTTGAATCGGATTTTTATTTTTTTATTGTAGATTTGGAAATTCGTTTGTTTGTAGTTCTCTTGTAGCTATTGTTAGCAAAACATACTTCAAACTACTCTTTTCCTCTTTTATAAGATCGATTTTTACTTTTAAATTGAAGCATATTGAAAATGATCAACATCTACCAATGACAATCAGCAATCAATATTCACGTTTCTTAAATGACAAATCCACAACAGTAATTCTGAACATTTTTCCTCAATTCAGACTACATCAAAAAATATCAAAATCTAGAAAAAGGCGATGAAGAATTTCTCATAACAAAGTTTTATCTTCTCCAAGATCCAATCTTTATTCCCATAGCTACCCACAGCTATCGCCATTATACAATATTTTAAAACAAATTATAATAAATCACCACTGGTGCGCGAGATATTAATGAAATAAAAAAAAAAATGGGTGGAAGATTAAATTTTTTTTTTTCACATCCAATTCCTTTATAAATCTCACCTTTGTGTAATTGATTCTCGTGCTTTCTACATTTTGCTCTTCTATTCTGTAAAAAGTAGAGAAAAAAAAATTAAAATGTTGTTAAGGGTTGAACTAGAAACATAAATTCTAATAAAAATTACTCAC